GCAATTATACATGTTTAAGATAAATACATCATTTGTTTTTTTTTGCTTTTAAAAATAGGTGTGAGCAGCTAAAATTCATTATAGATCTCAACAACAAATCTAACAAATTCGGTTAATTAAGTTCGATTTTGTATAATTTGAGTTTGGTTCGGATAATTTAGTATAAAAATCTTTATACCAATTCAAACATTATATAATTTGGTTCGAATTTGGATTGGTGAATTTTGATTTGATGGTTCGATTCAAATATTTTGTCTATCATTTGATAGAACATATTCTTATATAAAATAATCGCAAATTCGAATATTGACAAACAAATCTCGGATTTCGTATAATAATTTTTCACATTAATTAAATTTTATTTTTAACTAAAACTATCGAATTCGAATAATAATTCCCGCATTCACTAAGATTGATTTTTTACTAAAACTATAATAATTTAACATAATAGCTTTTTAATCCCTTTTTTGGCCTAAGAAACTCCTGATCCCAAAGCTTATGTAACTAACGGTTGTTCTATTTTTCTCGAAAAAAAAAAACGCTTGTTCTATTTTGGTAATATATTCACATGCAAGAAAAAAAAGTTGGTATGATGATCCCACATATCTTGTTAAGATAAATTAACGTTGAGATTGATTTACACATCGAAAGGTCAAAGGTTTAAATACCTTGAAAAAAGGCTCAAGTTGTTTTCCTTGTTTTTAACAAAGATCATGGGTTTTTTACCAGTTTTCCTAGGTTTTGGCGCTGAAAATCTTATCAGAGATTCTTCATGGTATATTTATTGAATTTGTAAGACCACCTCCATTGGTATAACTCCTAATAGAGTTCTTAACAAATTTTTTAATATAAATTTTTTATCAATCTAAGTTAAGAGACTCATTAGGGGATTTCAATTTTTCTTTCTTCCATAGATAAATCCATTAGGGGTTCTTAAGAAGAAAAAAATTAACACAAATCTTTTAGATGCAAAAGATTGATAGTATATGTTTTATTGTTATCTATGTCTGTTTTAGATGCAAAACCAAAGATTGAGCTTTTGAGAATCATATAAGAGTAATCAAAAGACAGCAATTTTAACACACAGAGTTACATACAAGTCATATAAACATTAAACTGTCATAAAGAACACCTTAATGAGAGCCTCCAGAATGGTCTTCGCTTGGTCAAAATTACAAAGTGATCCTTCGTTATCTCACTCATTCTCAGCTGCCTTCTCATGGTTCTCAAAGTTTTAGAGACAAATAATTCCACAACCAAAACCAGCTTAATCAGACAAACCTGCTCATGGAGAATTGGGATTTTTACCTTGGAGTTACTGAAAGCAGCATCAACATCATCAATGTTTATGTCTTCATCATCAATGTTTATCTCTTCACTTTCTCCTTCTTACCAGCAAAATTAGAAGAACAAGAATCAATCGAATTCGAACCTGACCAGTAAACCGGTTTCTTAACCGGACCATCGTCTTCGTTCCACATATCCTCTGCTCCAGCTTTCATAAAGCGATCAGCCAAAGATTTTATATGTTCTTTCGAGCTAATCGGTCTTGATTTCGCCGGTAACGAGAGAAGCAACGATATAATCAAATCGGCGTGGCTATGCTTGAAGATGACGGAATTAGGGTTCTCGTTGTTGGGGATCGGAGAATTATCCATGGTTGAGAGATCCAGACAGAGAGAAACCGATATATGCAAAGCACGATTTCGATCGCCAGAATCGGCTTGAGAGAGAGAGTCGCGACGGGAAAGAAGAAAACTTTTTTTTCTTGTTTTAAATACCTGAACTAATCACTTGTTGACACGTAAGGGTACTTAAAGAGTTCTGAAAATACTGAAATAACACAAAATTAGTCTTTT